CCGACAAAAATTATTAGAAATGGATGAAAACCAACAGGATTCATCGTCCTATGACCTTAAACGGTGTGTATAAATTCAAAGTCAATCGGATATTAACTTTAGTCTCTGGAGTGTCCACAAGATATTTCAAAGAGATCAAGGGTCATAACTCTGGCAGCAATTATCGGAAATCTCATGACCTTAAACACTGTATCAATTTAAAGTCAATCGAATATTAACTTTAACCTCCAGAGCGTCTACAAGATTTTTCTAAGTGATCAAGGGCCATAACTCTAGCAGTAATTATAGATGAAAATCAATAGGCCTCTTCGTCTCATGACCTTAAACACTATGTATGAATCAGCTATTAACTTTAGCCTGTAGCTATTAACTTTAGTCTGTATGGCAAACAATATGCAAAGTTATATGTATATTTTCAAACTGACAAATTCTAATTAGACACAAAATATAACGAAGAACATATGGCAAATAATATGCAAAGTTATATGTATATTTTCAAACTGACAAATTCTAATTAGACACAAAATATAACGAAGAACATATTTAATTTGATAATCGAGAATAAACTTTTCTTTACAGCGTTTTGAGTAAACGGCTCCATAATATTGTTCGCGTGTTGGATGTACTTTTCTATCCCTTTGAAATGGTTGTTGACATATATTGTTGTCTTATTACCTAGAAAGAGATGATTGTAAAACATTTCTATCTTTTTTTCTGTTGGAGCTGGTTTGGGCATCTAATCAAGCACGGTGAATATAGTTCTGGGAGACTTACAAAAAATACATTTGAATTCTTGATTTCTATTTTGATAGAAATCTCAGATTAAAACTGAAATTTCGTGGCAATGATATTACATATGTATAACCCATGAGAGAATTTGTATTGAAGGCGGTGAGAGTTTTTAACTTGTTGGGAGATGTTTCAAGCATTTTTTTCATCTTTTAATTTGCTCAGATATAATGTATTCCCCGTTTTGTGTGTATATTTTGAGGGTAATATAATACAGGGTGATTAGCAATTCTATGCTCGAAGACCTTTACAATAAGCACAAAAATAATATTAATCTAAAAATGTAATCAAAGTTGTGATATGGAGAATACTAGTAATATGAATAACCATATTATATCCATCCATATTCCCAAACAAATTGCGTGCGGGAAACCTTCCTTGTTCACAGATTGAATAACCCCAAGTATCGCTTTACAAGGTATCTATAGAAATCGCTAATGGTCCTGGATTACACGGTGGCAATGATAATTTCCGTAGCAGAGGCATCAACTAAAAGCCATCGTTATATCTAGAAACGTAATAATTACAGTCAATTACTCAGAAAAATTGAGTAACGCGAGCTTTTATTACGCATCGGTTTATGCAGTTTTTAGTGTAATGAAGAAATGGGGATATTTATACTGCTCGTCAATCTTCTTATATTTCTATTTTAGAACATATCTACAAAGACATGATGGTTTTAATAGGCAACGTTGGTTTTAATCGCAATCAAAATGGTTCCTCCTGAAATATCATTTAAAACAAATAGAAACAAAAACATCCCATAAACATTGATCGTTTTATTTGGACTAGAAAATGCTTTTATGCAACCAATGAAAATCTAAACCTAATCATACCACCTTAATAGCCAAGCATTACGAAAATAATGTATCTTACAAACACACCCTCAAGCGATCCTGGATAGACCCAAATAAAATATTTTAATCTTTATATAATCGTTTACAGTTTTAAAGTCTTAGATAGGTAAACGATACGTATTTTAAATGGATTGTTGTTTTAGATTTCATACAATGTCAGTCAAATTCAAGTCAGATTTATGGCTTTTCTTGATAAATGAATAAAAACAATTCAAAGTCCACAATGGAAGAAAAATGTAGATGAAATCCAAACTGATAATGGCTACATTGTTTGTTAGTTCTAAGATTTCTGATTTCGACATACAAATCTAACAATGGCGTCTACAGCATTTACATTTATGAAGACTTGTCATTTGAAACAATGATGTCTAGATGCTTTCTGTAGAATCAATCTTATAATTTATGGGTAATTTGAAACCATAAAAACAAACTATGGTTATATCAATCCACAAAATAAATAGAATTGCGAAACAACTCCGATTGTCAGACAATGGACAAAGAAATGGATAGAGGATACATAAGTAACAGAAGCAACGGCGTGATACTGAAATAGTGATCTTCATAGTGTCAACATAAAAGAGGATTTTGGAAGAGCTTTGAGGGTGGACATAGGATGGGCGGAAGACTTTCGTGTGATGCTACCAATGTAACCGAAGCAATGGTCCAGGCATGCGTGATACCGAAACAGCGATTTGCATAGTGTCAACATGAAAGAGAATTCTGGAAGAGCTTTGAGGGTGGACATAAGATGGGTGGAAGACTTTCGTGATGCTAGTTTGATGAGTAATACAAATTCTTCATTAAAAATTAATAGGTCCAGAGTAAGTACCGTTATAAAACAAGTTTTTAGCCTAGTAATAGCTTGTTAAAGCTATACCCTCTTCTTCACACACCCACAAAGCAAAGAAAAAAAAACCTTTGATTGTCCAATACTACTTGAAAGCATCACTCATCTGTTCTGTATGACCCTTGTGTTGAAATCCCTTTTGTAGGCGAGAAAATGACTCGGAAATAAGGCCTGTCAAAAGGAGTTGTGTACTTTCATCGCTTAGTCTATAGAAACTGTTCACTGCAGCTTATTGATTAACATAATATGTGGTCAAATTGAAAAATTCATATAACTTGGGTTCACTATCGACCCATCTCTTGCCTGCCTATAGAAAGCTATTCTGTGCTTGTCTGAAGAGGGCGATTCGATGATTGAATATCATCGGAACCACTTGAGTTTCCCTTACCAATCTTTCCTGTTCACACTCAAGTGGCTTAAGTTTTGAATATTCTGTATCAATAAGATGATGGAGAGAGGTTTTCCATGATTCGATATTTTGGATTTTGCCAGTAAACGTTAGTGCACATGACAATGCAATAAGTTTACTTCATCGACGGACGTGTTATTTCTACAACCGAACCCCTTGTTGCAATGCAGTACAATTTCTAAATGCTTCATCTGACATAGTGCAGTTTTTCTCTCAATGCGAGTGAAAATGTTTTGTGTAGAAAATATCGATAGCCAAGTAAATTAATTCAGCTCGTCTTTAGCCAGAGGGTATAAAAGATTCAATATCACAGAACAGTCTTCTATATAGCTGAACCAATCTCGGCGACACACAGTAAAGTGGCTGACCATTTTTCTTTTTGTAAAAGTGTCTAGTGTAATAAAGCCGCCAAAAGCCTGCAGGTTTCTCTAACCCCTTCAATAGCTGATGTTTAATAAATCTTCATCTTGCTATATAAATAGAACGACCATTATAACTCAGTTATACAATCTTTTTCATTTTTCCCTTAATGAATGTTGAGAAACATCGATATATGTATAAGAGTTTTCTTAGTTTTCAGCGAATTTCGATATTGTTAGAAGGTTGTAATGTACTAGAAAATTGTTATTTGGGGAAATAATGGTTCTCCTATTGTCTAAAATATAAAAAGACAGAACACAATTGATAGGCTACTTCTATCATCAATTATCATTTCATCAAAGGCGGAATATCAAAACAATACCATCTCATTATATATAGGCATATTATCTCAATCATCTTTTTACCCCCAATCATAAACTAAAAGTAAATTTAAGCATACACGGATCGAATACGAAGCTTCTTTAAAACAAAGATAATACAAACAAATGTTTCTTCAAAAGCTATAAGGATAAGAACAAGAGAAAACACATCAATGAGATGGATATCATGCAGCTTAGCTACTGGCAATTCGTGGGTTTTATCATTTTCTATTAGCACTTACAGACTCATCCTAAATGATATATCGCCTCTAACCATACACTTGATATGAATAGTGAAATTGGGCTAACTATCACTAGAAATTATTCGATACACAAATTTGTCAGGTATTTAGAAAACAAAGATACTTTCATGAAAATGAAACAAAACAGCCGACAGCAACCGATTGACATCTCGAGAATTCATTTTGAAACGCTTAAACTGTAAAGAAAATGGGAGAACGGAAATAGGTAAGAAGTTGTATAAAACTGAATGACGCATTTGGGATCATTATGATAAAATTGCTCCACCTATGTAATTCATCATACTTACATGTATATTTATAGACATTTTATTTTCAATAGGGGCGATACTGTTAATATGTTCATCGGTCATTCATATATCAAAAGTTAAATACATTTAAATAATTGAAAGAGATAAGGGGATTATTTATATTTTTGATTTCTGGATAGCAATGTGCTGGTGTACTCCCGATTCTGATCGATAATCATAAAAGTATGTATCTATCATATCTCTTAATTACGTGACCTATAGTTACAAGAGGTCAAATGGTCAAATGTTTTAGCTTCGTTTATAGGTCGGGGCAACCTTCGGATATGCTGGAATGTCCATTATTGAATGACTTGAACCGGATGTAATGTAAGCCCTTATCATGTAATTGATTGGAATTAGGCTATGACATCAGATAAAATGGCTCTATATCTTTACTGTAATCTGCATGTGTTTAAATTACGAAAGGTCATGGTTGTGTTGACATTTGATATTAAGTTGCAAAATGAAATGAAATGAAGTGGGGTTTAACGTCCTACTGTTCTGCTCCTAAACTGGGCTAATGAAGACGGGCATACGCCATACAGTGTGCTATGAGGGAAATTTTGCCCGGGCAGCGGAGCTACGGCCTACTCTTATATCGAATTCCAACTGCCAAGGGGTCTTTTACGTGCACGCCAATATGTACACTGGACCTCCGTTTTCGTCCCATCCGAATGGACTAGACAGCTGGCTTTGTCAGGCTATTAAGTTGCAAGCATGAACAGATAAATACCTACACTTATATGCAAGCATCATATCTAATACGAATTCAAAGACTGGGTCGTGATGCATAAAAATAATAACATACCTTTAGCCATTTCCTCTCTATATGTTCTTTCAATAAACTGAAAATAAAAAAAAAGTTCATTAAGTCTGTATAATCAAAAGGTTTATTCGAAAATTCATTGAGTACATATTATTACAAAATCTGCATTGTCAATATTGAATTCTTCTTGTGATATACTAGACAAGATACAGATGATGAAACAATGGACAGTCAACGTCGTCTAAAACACCCTAGACAAAACGGAAATGTGTATAATATTGCTTTATGGATTTCTGGTTCCCTTTACAAAGTATAAGTAATATTGTAAAATGTAAACATAGCATCTTGTGGCTCTATAGGGGGAAAAGTTTTCAAGTATTTAGATTATTTTCAGTAGAGATAATTCCTATATTGACGACAAATAGTCATTAAGCTGATCTTTCTTCTTTTGGCCTAAAGCAAAATGGATGCTTTGTATACCATCCTTCGATCCAAATCAATATGGCTATTATTTGCGATTTTAAAAGTCATTTGTGTTGTGTCGCGTTATGAAATCGAATTTAGCCCAGTAAATTTCTCGTGTTTACTTAATATGTTTACATTATTCCAATGCTGCATTACGACCGTTCAAGAAACAATATTTGCCGATATCTTGTATTTTTTCTAAGACACAAAGTATTGACGATTAAGTGAAATTCGAAACAGCATTTTGAATGGAATATCGAATGGCCAAAAGCGATACTTGTGAGAGAGAATTGCAAAGGCGGGGTAATACAGATCAATAAAAGATTAGCAGGTGATTGGTTATACCAATCGTTCATCGATCTCATATACACACGTTTTACGACAACCATTTCGATTCTGAGTAGAGCAACAGCCGTAATCTGGTCGCACAAATAAACTTGCTGGGCAATAAGTGGATTTACCTTAAGTCCTTTGACCAATCGAAACCAACTTGAAGGCAGTGAAAAAGATTAGCATCGATTGACCAGACTCGTGACATTAAATCATTTTTGTGTTCTTGGGTAATCGAGAAATAGGAACAAAAAGAGGTGGTGTTAATTGCAGCTTGCCACATGCTTAGAACACATCTTCAGATGCAGACAATTTCCCAGGGATCGATAGTTGGGGAGTAGTTGCGTGATCAAGATAGAGAAATATTGCGTGAGGTCGGGAAGGAAAACAAAGTCGACAAGATTTGAAAGAAGCAACGTGTAGATCGTCTTTGACTGTTAAGAGAGTTTAGCGTCTGGGCATAAAAATCCACTTTACCCGGAGAATAAAAAGATAACTCATCATGAAGCTCTGTGTTACTGGATAACACTCGGTTTGACGTGTTGATTTATTGAACCTTAGACTATTTTAGATAATTAAAGGTTTAACTAAAAAAATAGTCACGGGCGTTAATTCTAATCGATTATGGACTTTCAGTGAAGCTAACCCAGGGATAAGACAACAAGAAACGGTTTTAACGTAATTATCAGCAGGAGCAAAAAGCAACCAAACCAATATTTTGAAAGTATGTGTATACATAAACTAGAAATTCGATGCTGGAATCAACGAACTTTCCTCAATAATTCAGTACAGGGGGTTATAATTTAATAAAAACAAATTATATTTACGAGTAGTAAAGTGTTAAAATGTAATTAAGCTTGCCAGTATTATAAACGGAATAGTCGGAAGGAATCTGGAAAATGTCACTGCTAGAAATCCCTGAGAGTTCTAAGATATTAACACTGGGAACTGTCTACGTAAAGTTTCAGATTTTGTACTGTAACAATGATATTGACCCTGAGAAGAAGTGGAAGAGAATTTTCGAGACATAACTTAAACATATTATATCCCACCCACCCATTTTAGCTAAGAGCTACAGTTTTACGCCTTATAAATAGTATGGGGGGGGGGCGAATGGTTAGCACGTGCGCGCTGTATCATAAGGCCTGGTTTCGAATCCCCGGTTGTACGTGACAAAGAGTAGGGTCGCCTGTCCAACCTCGTGGGTTTTCTCCGGTTTCCTCCCACTGCTAAAGACTCCTACGCGCAAGCGAATTATTGAAATAAAATTAAACCATATGTTAGTCCCGAAATGACCTAGTTTGTGTCGAGTGGACGTTAAACCCCATCTCTCTCTCTCTCTCTCTATAAATAGTTCAGGGTTCAATATACAATTACATGTACTGCTTCATCTCAGAGATACGGTCTCTACCGACAAAGCATCAATAGAATTTAATTTCAAGACAATGCAATGGCTCATAACATCCAGCCATATAAATTGACTACACGCATCGATTCCTTGGTGTCAATTTTTTGAATCGCGTGTATTGTGTCAATACATATAACCGGTAGAGGGCATCTAGAGAGAGCAGTGGTACATCTATCTCATTCAATTTGATGTCTCACAAAATTGCATTTGTTCCTAAGACTATTAATCTTTTTTTATAACAATTTATCAACTGGCTGAATCACTTACTTTCTACAAAAAGGTTCAGCAATAACGTATAATTTTCTCGAGTCCTAAGGGACAAACGAGGCGAAACTAGGGCAATCACAAAGCTTCGATCGCTTTATTCTGTGTTCTCACTATAGTTGTGGTGGTTGTTTTTGACGAAATATTGGTTTTGAGAAGTACATCCCCAGATAGTAGAAAGTCATTTATCTTAACGTAAAATTCCCTTGTTAATGGGCAATAGTATAATGAAGGGAACTGTGTTTGTTCTCGTCATAAATCAGATAAATATTATTAGCCACGATTTAATTGATCTGTCACTCTAGTTCCATTGATTGGACAAAGATGAATAGCATCTATTATCGGCCCGGGGCTGCATGCAAATCTTGTAGTGACCCAACATGATTCGTATGTAGTTTTTACCTCGTAACTCATTTAAATACCCTCCCTGGGTAGCCCATAGATAATAAAAACGGCCATACACATAGTATCCCCGAGGTCCTATCACTATCATTGATTTCACGTACGTCGTCCAAACAACTCCACAAAAAACTTCGAAAATCGGCTGAAGTATCCTCTTGGGCGTGTTTATCAGAACAAACTTACATTGCTACTTTCTAGTTTTAACATAAATCTTCTTATTTTCACCGACTGCATTGCTTCAGTAGATGATATCTTGATATAACTTTTTAAATGACATTTAGAAGTTAGATTGGAATAATGTTTTAAATGACATTTAGAAGTAAGATTGGAAACTACTAAAACCATTATAGGTTTTTAAATTACACACTGTGGTTTGGGCTACAATTCCCTCCACTTGAAGGATATCATGGCGTCATGATTATCTATAGAAACACTTTATCTTTACAATGTGAAAGTATGTGTGGATTTCCAATTTTATTTCTATATTTTTTTTTATTTCAACACTCATACATACATAAAGAGGCATTATTGGAGATTAGATAAAGAGTTGACTGTTCTCGCTATAATAGTTTAAATTAGCTTTTGGATTTTAAGCCTAGCCTCGATCATCTTTATTAACGTTGGTACGATAAAAAAGACAGTCTCGATTAAGCATTTTTGGATTTAATCATCAATGAGCGTTGAGCAGCAGATTGGATTCAAATCCAGAGAAAATCCAACACATAAGATGACATCGAGAGTTGATTATGGTTTGGATAAGTTAATTAATGACTAATTAATAGAAAGACCTGCAATGGGCAGATATAGCTCTTGCATAATGTATGTTTATGGGAAATTATGTTTACAGCAACATAAATCTAATTATTTCAACATATGGACCTTGCTACTTACCGCTACAAATAACGCAAGCGTTATATTCTCAACAACGAAAAAACTTTTGGTGGGACGATGTTATGACATTGTATTAATAAATGACATTCATGGCAACACATATTGGAAAGCACGACCGTCGAGCAATTTGGATTTTAGCTGGCATTTATCTCAAAGGAAATAATTCGGACATAAACTCCATACATAATGCATTGTATTCAATGAATAGAAAATGGTGATTATTTCTCCGATATTGTGACGGCTCCTATCTAATCCGCCTGACTCGCATCTGATTTGTCAGATACTAAATAATGGCGGCAGTGTCCATTAGCTTGTTCTATAAGGACTGAGATTAATATTGACACAGGGCTTTGTTCTCTAATTGCATTTTTACACAAAGTATAGTTAATGTTGTTTTTCATATCAACCTCCACTACTATTGATTTTGTTTTTATTTTTGATCAATCATGCCAATCACAACCGTTTATTCTAGTATTGTAGACAATACAAATTCATGAAAAGAATTTGCCTTATAAATACTGTTTTACATTGTTAAAAGGTGTCCGAATAAAGACATGTTCCTTGTTGAATGATTGTTTTTTTTTTTAAAATCTATTCCGATGTTATTATTAATCAAATGTTTTCTGGAGATTGAGATTTCTCATCAAAGCTGTGGTGATTAATTATTCATACGCAGATGCTCGAGCATGCTTAAATGTTACGTCTTATGGGACTATCCAACAAAATGAATTTTGGACACAAATATGTAACCTTACATGCTGCAAATCGTTTTGGGGTATTGTAATCAATAAGACAAGTGTTGAAGAAAAGAATTCAAATTAAGTTTTGCGTCACTTAAGTTTTCTTTAATGTAATTACGTTGACATTCACAAACAGAAGAGAAAAGAAACTGATGACCTTCTTTTGGGGGGAAAAAACGTTCCACAAATATTTTCAGACCTGGTCATGAGACCTTCGTGGTGACAGTAATTTACGTTCATTAAATATGAATGACATTGTGAGATACGTGACTGATTCCGACGCATGTGTACTAGATCAGGTGTATAAAGAACACTGAAGTACAAAGGTAGTACAGTTTTATGGAATTCGAGTTTCTAAAATCCAAGTCAATACATTTATCTATAAGCGGTAATGACCGATGGGTTTCAGGGATGAGGGAGTTTATTCTGCAGTTTACCAAATTCGCTGTACTGATTGCAGTGAAACATAGTACATATAACCTTTATTTTTTTTATTCTAAAAATATGATCTAGATTTGCAGAACGATGTATTAGATACGGACATACTTAGAAGGTACATGTATGTATGTTATCATATGT